CAAATTATTTTCTATGTTAGCGTAAAGAAAACAGAAAATTCTCTCTTTTTTACTGGTTTCATTCCTACCATTCTTTAAAATGTATAGAAATCATTAAAAATAAGAAGCCCCAGCTTCAATTTATTAACCCGGATTCGTGAAGTTAAATTTTTAGATATATTATAATATTTTAATGTTCAAAGTTTGATAATGACAAAAAAGTCAGGAAAAAAGAGAACCTGAAGATCAAAAACAGGATGCTCATCATCTTCATCTGAATCCCCGGCATCCCCATTCACATTTAATGGAACAACATCCCTTTGCTTATGAACTGCAAAAAATAATAAATAGTAAAAGATTTTAAAAAAGAGAAAAATATTAGTAAAAATATAAAAATTTATGAAAAATAAAGTAAATTGAACTTACAAACATCGACTTCGTCATCGACGTTTTCAGGGTCGACGACTTCGTCGTGTCGATGTCTTCTCTTAGGGCTTCTTTTGTCTTTCTTCAAGCTCTTTTCTCTCTTTCCCATTGCTACGAAACTAATTTCTTGATTTCTGAGTTTAATTCAAAAAACCTGATTACTGTTGAGTGATATTTTAGTAGTATTGATTGTTTCTGTATGTAGCAAAATCGGTTTTTCTAAAACCTTTCGAAATTTTCGGAGAATTCGGAGTTGAGCCTAGGGTTTATGCTCCAGAGCAACTATTTGTAAAAATAGTTGGATTTGGGCATTAAAAAACCTTCGAATGCCCAAACCTCTTATCAAAGAGCCCAATATTTGTCAGCCTCGCAAAAAGCCCAAAACAGTTTCGATAACCAAAGGTCCAAAACCTACTTTTTTAACTAGTGTTGTTTCGCGCAAATTGATTTTTAAAAAATTTTAATATTTATTTTTTTTTTAAATAGTGAAAATATTTTATTATTTAGATGAGTTAATAAAAAATAATTTTTTTAGGTTTTTTTTTGAAAAGTCTGTTTTTTAAATAATATAGATATAACTATTAAAATTAACAAATGATTTATTAGTAAAATTGTTAATATTCAAAATAGTTATACTTTAATATAATAATATTTAATATTAAAATATTATATTAATATTAAACAATTAAATTAAAAATTTTATTATTTCTATTAATATTTAAAATATTTAAAATAATATTACTATTATTAGTCTTATTTCTATTAATATAATAACATTAAAATAATCATATTTATTATTAAAATAGTTAATTTTATATTGAAAGTGTTTATTATTAAATCATAAAAAAATTATTTATTTATATTTATTATTAAAATATAAATATAAATACCATTGTCAATAAAATATAAAAATAATATATTTTTAATTTAAAATATTAAAAATTTTATTTAAAATAACCATGTTATTAAAATAATATTATTAATTATTCAAATATTAAAAATATTATTTATTATATTAATATTTATTATTGAAATAATAATAATAATAATATATATAACTTAGTGTTGGGCCATTAAGAAATAACATAAGAAGCAAATGAGGGAACTTTAGAATTATAGGATTAAAGTTTAATTTGTTATTGTTGTATTGAAATAATAATATAATATTATTTAAAATTGAAATAGTAAGAGACTTTTAATATTACTTTTAATTTTTAATTAAAAATAAATAAAAATATTTGCATTCATATAGTAATATTTTGAGTTAGGTTAAATAAAATTCGATTTAAAAAATATGTTCGACTTGAGTAATACAATACAAATATTTAAAATTAAAATATTAGAAGATTATTATTAATATTTTAATATTTTTAAGTAAAATTAAATAAAAATAACTTTATTAATATAATAATATTTTTTGTTGGGCCAAATTAAACTTAAGTTTAGAAAATCATGTCTAATTATTGACTTTATTAAAACTATACTCGGAAGTTTGATAATTAATCATATCCATATGTAATTTTTTTCCAAAAATTGTCATCATTTTTTAGAAAAGGAAGATAATTAAAAAAAAATATTTTTCTTTGACCAATAAACTATTTTCATTGATCACTATTTTTTATCAACAAATACAAAAAAAAAAAAAAAAAATTTTAAATTATTTTTTTATAAAATAAACGGAGTTTGAATCTTAATTACCAATCACAATCACTAGGATGAGGTTTGAGTGGATAATTTTGAAGTCAATATCATAAAGAGGTTTAATCATTCCAAATCTAGATGATACGGTGAGAAGCCCAAAACTCAATTCAAGGTGACAAATTCAACCAAGTTTAAATTTTTAAAATCAAGTTGAACTCAAAATAAAAAATAATTTATACAAACTCATTCAATTGAATTTATTTATTAAATAAAAAATAAACTTAAATTCCATATTTAGTTTCAATTTCGATTACATGATATTAAATTCGAGCTACTCTTTAGTGGAGTTACCAATACAAAGTTAGTCTATATGTTTTAGGATTATGTAGAATGAATTATTTATACAGGATCAATCCAATGCGGTTTAAAATAATGCTTTTGTTCACTATGAATTTGCATAAACTTTAAGAAATTCATACTCTAATATTTTTCATTAACAAATTTAAGGGAGTATTTGGTTCGGATGAATCCACACATTTTTTCTTGAAAATTTACTGTTGAGTATTTGATTCCTATATTTTTAAGGTAATTTAATTTTGAATAAAACTGATAGATTTTCAACAATATCTAAAGTCTCGAAATCAAAAACTCATATCTCCCAGTGGTATTCTAAGATTCCGAGAGAAAAAGTAACATTATTTTCAAAATTGACCTAATTAAAAAATTATGAAATAGACGTTATCATTTTAAAAAACATGTCTAAAAATGAATGTAAGTCAGTTATAGGTTTTTATTGATAAAAAATTTGGTTTATATATGGCATTTGGTATGAAAAACACATTCAATAATCTCTTATAAAAAAATTAAATGAAATTATTTAAGGTGTTTTTGACAAAAAAAATGCATTGAATAATCTCAAAAATTTTATGAAGGGATTATTGAAAACTTTTTTTTGTCAAAAATACCTTGAATTATCCTAAAAAAAATTGAAACGAATTATTCAAAGTGTTTTTTGCCAGAAAACGGCTTGAATAACCCCATTTAATTTTTTGTAAGGGATTGATTATTCACGATATTTTCTAGCAAAAAACATATTGAATAATCTTCTCAAAAAAATTGAAAGAGATTATTTGAAGTGTTTTTTTATCAAAAATACCTTAAATAATCTACTTATAAAAATTGAAAGAGATTATTCAAGGCGTTTTTTATTATAAACACCTTCAATAATTTCATTCAAATTTTTATAAGGGATTATTCGATGCATTTTCTAAGTAAAAATGCCTTGAATAATCTTTTCATAAAAATTGAAAGGAATTATTTGACTAGCCCCATTCAAAATTTTATAAGGGATTATTCAAGATATTTTTCAAAAATAAAAAGGAAAAAGATTGTTCAAAGTGTTTTATGGGCAAAAACATCTTAAATAATAGAAAAAAATATAAAGGATTATTAAAAACTTTTTTTGCTAGAAACGCATTAAATGATCCCCTTATAAAAATTGAAGAGAATTATTCAAAGTGTTTTTTGCTATAAACACATTGACTAACTCTATTCAATTTTTTTTAAAAGATTATTCAATGCATTTTTTCTCAAAAAAATAAAAAAAGATTATTCAAGGCGTTTTCTGAACAAAAACACATTAAATAATCCTCAAAAAAATTATAAGAGATTTTTAAAAGTATTTTTTATCACAAAGGCCTTGAATAACCTTATTCAATTTTTTATAAGAGATTATTCAATACATTTTTTGGTCAAAAATACCTTGAATAATAAAAAAAAAATGAGAATGGATTATTGAAGATGTTTTTTTTTTTTTTTTTCAAAAAATGCATTGAATAATCTTCTCTAAAAAATTGAAAAAGATTATTGAAGATGTTTTTAGCCAAAAAAACTTTTAATAATCTCTCTATTAAAATTAAAGGAGATTATTTAATACGTTTTTTACCACAAACATTTTGAATAATCCCATTCAAAGTTTTTATAAAGATTATTCAAAATATTTTATGGTAAAAAACACATTCAATAATCTCTTTCAATTAAATATTAGATTATTTAAGTTACCATCTCATATATGTAAAAGAAATTATAATAATTATTCAATATTTAATATATGTGAATTATCTCTAATCAAAAGAATGAATCTAAATACGAGATTCCTAAAAATTAAAAAAAAACTCTAGATATTATATTTTTTTGAGGATTATATTTTTTCTCAAAATTTAGTATTCCATCCCTTTTAAAGATTTAGTTCAATTTTATTCCTTTATTTTCTATATACTCATTGGCATCCGGCGCCAGTTGCTTGCACAAATTTTTAAGGGTCAAGTGTTTTGTTTTTGTCCCGTTCTCTAAACCCTAGTTATTGTTTTATTTATTTTATGGATTTTTTTCTTTATTCAATTTCGTGTAATGACTCTAATTGACAATAATAAAAAGTAAAGATAAATTTAGAAATTTTAAGTATATTTGATATTTATTTTTTTATAAGAGACAAATAAGTTGAGACTTTTTTAAAAAAATTAATTAAATAAAGTAAAACGAAGGGAATAACTTTTAAATAACATAAATAAAAAAAAATTACGGATCATCTTAATATTATTGATTCTAAAAAAATTTTGAAACATGGATCATCGGTCAAATCTCAAGAGCCAAAGACCATTCTAAAAGCGATCCAAAGCCACTGGTTCAGGAGTTTGTGAGTGATCCTGAGTGGACCTAAAATGGGATCTAATGTGATCCGTTTCGAAATCACTTAGGTGGGCTCAATGTAATGGAGCCCGACCCAAAATGCTTAATAAACCCAATGTAACAATGATTGAGGATTTTAAAGAAAAAATGAAATAATAATTCCAATTTCCAATAAAAATAATAAAAAATTGATAGATTGAAACTCGAAAATGAAAACGTCGTGACCAGGTTCCTTCGCAATTACACGTCAACCCCCACTCCTCAAATCATCTATACCCAACTCTATCTAAACTTACAAAACTACGCTTCTTATGTTGTACAGATATGCCAAAATACCCTCAAATTACATCTGAAAGGACAGAGTTCAATAAGGTACAATTGGTCTCAGCATGAAATTTAAACATATATGTTAAGGATATTCGCAGAAGATATTAATTGTCCACCCCGTAATTTCGTCAACAACGTAACTTCTCCCTCAGAAAAATTTCCATTTCGTTTTAAAATTTGTCGGAAAGAAGGGAAAATAAAAGAAAAATTTTTTCCGGTGAAAAAAGATTCGATCTCTTTTGCCGTAAACGGAACTTCATGGCGGTTAGTGCAATTTCTATGTTTGTTTTTCTCTATTATCTTGTTTCTCGGCAAGAAAATTTATGACAATACGAAAAAGAATTTATTTTCCAATTCAGTTTCAACTTGAAGATCTAAGTTATTCTTGTTCTAATATAAATATGAGTAATTTAGTTTGTAATTGTTCTTTTTCTCTTTTTCCTTTTCATCTGAAATTGTAGAGATTTTACAAATTTTAATTATTTGAGTTCTCATTTATTAGGGGTTATAATCTAATCTGAGTTTAGTTTTCTTCAATTGTTATGCATTTTGTTTCTTTATTTACTCTGTCTCTTAGCAATTTTATTATATATTTTTTATTTTATTCTTTTTGATGAAATTTTTTTTTACTTGATTGACAAAGAATTTTGATTCTATCTTTTTTGGATTTGTATATGCAAACTATTCATCGACCTGGTTGATTTCATTCTGTATGCCAATTAGGAATTTATTAAGTTCATAAAAAAAATGCTCAATTAATGCTCTCTTTAAGGAAAAATGAAAATTTACGGAATTTAACTTGCTCTAAGGCCTTCCCTAATTTGAATTTAATATTGAATTATCTATTTATTTGCACGCGATGAGGTTGAACTTGAAATCTAATAGAAATTATGATTTTCATTGACCCTAAAAAGATATGGGATGTTTTCTTGGTAAATGCATGTAATAATGTGGAATGAAAGATGCTTTATCTGATTTGGGGTTTATAAGTTGTTCATTTTTTTGACAGATCCAATCAGTGAAAGTGGGCAACGTTTCCTTGGGTGCATCTGAGCAAGATATTAAGGAGTTCTTTTCCTTCTCGGGTGAAATTCAACATGTTGAAATGCATGGGTTAGTTATTACCATAAGATATTTAAGTTTCGCTGTCCCTTTTCTATTTGCATGATCTTCTCTACTGTATGGGATACAAAAAAATAATAAAAAAAAAGGTGGAAAATTGTTGAAATTACTTCTTCTGTCTTCTGACCCATGTAGTTGTACCACTTAGTGATGTTCTGTAATTTTGTATACACTATCTGGTCTAGGTTTCTTACTGCTTTCGTTTTTTTTTTTTTTTTTCGTTTCCATTCAGTGATAATGAACGATCTCAAGTTGCATATGTTACTTTCAAGGACCCACAGGGAGCAGAGACTGCTGTTCTTCTTTCGGTATGCGCCTATCTCTTTTCTTGAGTTTTTCTGTATTGATTATATTAATTATTTTCACTGACTCTCCCATATTCATCAAATAATTGGAGTTTATTCTTTTGTTAGAAGGAAAATGGTCAGTCTCATATATATTGGAATTAAATGTCTATTTATCTTTTGTGGAATCTCATGTTTGATGTGCTTTACAAAGCAAATACTTTAATGCATTGCCGATGGGATCACCATGCCAGTGCCCATTTTGTTTAAAGTATTTTATTAGTTAAAAGATAGTAAAAGATATCTTCCTAAACCCTAAACAACCTTTGCTACTAAAAGATATCCGCCTTTGAGGGTCCTTGTATGCATTTGGCTGAGTATTTGGATTTATATCTTGAATTCACACTATGCTTTTGATTTATGATAATTGGTTTAAACTAAAAACTTAACGTCAAGGAGCTGATCAAATCTAGTTGCACATTTGAATGGTGTTTAAAACCTTTGTGGCTGAGGTTTCAATTTGTATGTGTTATTCTGACTTGTGAACAATTTATTTGATTGCAAAAAACAACATTCATGTTGGCCGTTTGGCATCATGGGATAAACAGCAGTTATTCTACTATAACTTGCATTTAGTATCATGGTTTCAAGATGTATTTATTTTTGTTTCCCTTTTCCTTTTTGTTGATTAGATGTCATAATCTTTTGTAGCAAGATCAATTTGATTTGAGGTTTGTACATCAAATTGTTCTTCCCTTGTTGCCTCTACACTTTTTAAAGTAAAGAGGGAAAAGAGAAGAGGCAAGCTGATGGCCATATTATTGCTAATTGGCAGTGCTTCAAAGTTTGGTTAGCTTTTTTACAAGAGAGCAGTTTCCGTAAATGCTAGTGTTGATTGATTGGATAGAATTTTTTTAATTTCATTCTTATGAATTCAGATTACATGGTTTTCTTCAGGGGGCAACAATTGTTGATCAGTCTGTTACCATAGAGTTGGCTCCTGATTACAAGCCACCTGCTACTGCTTCTGCAACACCTGTAATATCATAACCTACGGCAATCTGCTTTGATTTTACTTACTAAATGATGTTTCTAATTTGAATGAATTGTTCGATCTCCTCAGGCAACTGAGAACAAAGGTGCTGGCCGGGCTGAATCTGCTGTCCAGAAGGCAGAGGATGTTGTAAGCAGCATGCTAGCCAGGGGATTCATTCTTGGCAAAGATGCAGTGAACAAAGCAAAGGCCTTTGATGAGAAGCATCAGTTCACATCAACTGCCACTGCCAAAGTTGCTTCTCTGGACCAAAAGATTGGTTTTACTGAGAAAATTAGTGCTGGCACAACCATGGTAAATGACAAAGTGAGGGAAATGGACCAGAAGTTTCAGGTTTCTGAGAAGACAAAGTCTGCAATTGCAGCTGCTGAACAGACAGTCAGCAATGCTGGTTCTGCTATCATGAAGAATCGTTATGTTTTGACTGGAGCCTCATGGGTTACTGGTGCATTCAACAGGGTTGCTAAGGCAGCAGGTGATGTGGGGCAGAAGACAAAAGAAAAGGTTTTGGCTGAGGAAGAACAAGCTTGCAAACCAGAGGGCTATGCACGCATTAACGAGCATGAATCGCCCAAAGCTGCTAAACCCACTACTAGTGAGCAACCTTCCAAGCCCTCATCTGCACAAGGTTTAATTCTTTAATTTGCAAAACACTGTAAATACGAATATGGAAAGTATGGATCTTGTCATATCTGAATTCTGTTTTCTAGTTTGGTAGTAGTTAAATGTAGGATAGTTTGTCAAATATTGTTTGATAAATATTGTTTGATATGTTTGCTACACTTGACTTGAAAAAATAATAGATGCCTCTCCAACATTGCAGCATCAATTTGACTCATATATTCATATTCATCCTTTCTAAACTTTAGAATAAGGAAAGTTTCTTGTTTTGTCATTCATTTGTGCATTATCATCCTGCATTGGTGCTCCTAATTTTCATATTTCTTACTGTCAAATTATCAAATTTCTGGTTGCTTGTTGGCTCTTGAGAGTCCAGATAAATTGCAGGGGTCACACTTGCATCTATAATTGTTTGTTTGTTCTCAGCAGATGATTTAGTGCACAAGAGTTAGAATGAACCAAACCGTCCGATGGAACAGTGTTTTCGGTGATGTATTCCTGTCAAAATATAACTATGACTATATGTGAAAATATGTATTTAGAAGCAAATGTCAAACAAAATTTGTAAAACAATCATCATTTTTTCTGTATCAAAGTAAAAGGAAAATTAAGAAAAAAGTAGTATTGTAAAGGGACCTGATCATATCTTACGTTTGGATCTGTATATCTTTGAATTGGGTTTTTTCTGATTCTCATCGACCACTTTTTACGAACAAAATTATGCTCTATTCCATGCGAATTCCTATTTTCTATTTTGACTAATTGTAATTTTATGGATGAATGATAGACTTATAAACATGTTTGCCACCTTTCCATAAAATAAATTTTCTTGTAGTTTAATTAGATCTGACAATTTTAAATACGTTACGATGATATAATATAAAAATTATATTAAAAATATATGCTTAAATTTTTTATAAAAATCATATATATTTGCTTTAAAATTTAAGCAAAAATTTTATATGGATTTGGAAAAGAAAAATTATTTAATACACTAGCAATGAAGTTTTTAAATTTCACAAACAAAATTAAAATAATAAAGCATGTTTCATTTTTTTAATTAAATTTTTTTTATTTTTTAAATATATTAAAATTATGTGTTACCATTTTAATTTATAATTTTTTTAAGAAAACAAAAAAATTTATTTTATATTTAATCTATTAATATGAATTATAATACAATAATTTTTATATTTTATATGTTTTATACAACATAAATATATGAATTATCGTTCAAATTTTGCCTAATTACAGTTTTACTCGTTAACCATCCAGCAAACCTGATACTTTTGGCGTGGCATGCTCGGGTCATTCTTTTTAAGAGAAATTTTGGGCTTACTTTATAATAAAAGGGCAAAGGGTGTAACCCAAAAAAAAAAAAAAAGGAGAAGGATAAAAAAGCACGAGAGTCTGTCATATTCATATCATCATGTGGTCACAGGGTGAAGATCCTAACAGCTCACAGGGTGAAGATCCTAACATGACTCCATCCACCTAACAATGACCGGAATATATAACATATTAGTCACATGATTCACAACGCATTCAACAGACCAATCAGGGGCTCTAAAAGCTTTCCCTTCCTGGTCACTTCTTCACTTCACTTCACTGAACAACTTTCTTTCAGCTCTCCCACTTTCCAGGAAAATTTAGCTAATCCGTCAGGACCATCCGATCAGCATCATATAAGGTGGAAGATGGGTTTGATGGGTTGTCGTGGAACACCAATATGGGACGTTGACTTGGAAGTGTTGGTGGTAGTGATGCTAATTGGGGTGGTGTTTTTGAATTTGGTAGAAGAGAGCAAGCAGCTGAGCACAAGTCACCCAATGCGTGGAGTTGTTGATAAAGTGAATGAAGATGGAGGGCCGTATATTGGACTTGTCATGGCTTATCCTACTGAAGAACTGGCTCTTCAACTTTCTGGTTTCTTTCTTCCAAATCCTGACATCCCTTGGATTCAATTGGCAGGTCTCTCTTTCTCTTAACATTACATACAAGTATTTAATTACTTCTCTCAAAAGCCTCAAGTCTCAACTACCACTCTACCCTATCTTCTTTTTGCTACAAAAATACCCTTGGAAAAATTCGAAGTACAGACTGTTAGATTAATATAACATTTTTTTGGGGATAAAATTAGTTAAACTTAGCATTGCTGCAATTTTTTTTTTATAAAGAAGCACGCAGTATGAAAGAGAAATGGATTGCAATTGTCGGAATTTGAACTCCATTCTTAATATATGTTAGGTGGCTACACCTATAAGAACTAACTGAGTTAAACTCCTGCTTCATGTTTGATGTCATATTAGTAATTGGTCAAAACCCAAAAATAGATTCTTAAGCAATTATTCAATTCAAGTTAGCACCATTATGGGTCCAACCTGATTCTTGAACTAGGTAAAATGGACATGTAAATGTAAGAACAAAAACCTAGGCTGGTTATAGATTTCATCAGAGGAACATTGTGGAATTGTCATATGACTTCTAACACCATACATAATAGTCCTTAAATTGCCAATGATTTAACATGGTTTATTGCCTTGTTGGTCAATGGTCACTCAGGAAGAAGATTCAATATTGGGAAGATTAATGGTGTGAAAGTGATTTATGTGATGACTGGGGAGCAAACTGTAAGGTTTCTACTTGTTTCATTCATCTTTTTCCTCTGTAATCTCCAAGAACCCAATAGGACTTGTATAAATTCATTACTTGAATCTTTTGTGGTAATGTTTAGACAAATGCAGCCTTGACTGTGCAAGCCCTTCTTGATGCCTTTAACATTCAAGGGATTGTTCATTATGGCACAGCCGGGAGTACTAATGACTCGTTGTCCTTGGGTGATGTTAGTGTGATGAACTATGTTGCATTCACCAGTTCTTGGAAGTGGAAGGTAATATTTATGTTCAACTAATAATAGGAATATAGGATTCTGTATTTAAATTTGAACTGTTTTGTTTGATCTTGACTTTAAAAAGTATACAATTTTCAAGTACATGTTTTCCAGGGCCATTTCTGGGTATAAATTTCATTTTACTTCGAGTCATTTTTCAAATTCATAGATATTTGGCATAATGTTGGTGACATTGTTGTCCTCTATTTATGTTATATACAGGAATTCAAGTCAGAGAAAGGGCAGTTGCCAACACTGACATTTGGAGCATTCAATTTTCCTGAGAAGGGAGAGAATTTGTTGGCAAAGATAGAGTTCAGACCAGTGCAACTCTACTCCACTGGAAAACAAATGGAAGAACTATTTTGGCTTCCAATAGATTCAAATTGGTTCAACATTGCTGCTCAGCTTCAGGTCCCTTGATTTGTCATCATTTTCCCTGATGTTGTTGTCCTGTCTAATTGTGTAATTAATCTGTTCCGTTTGTGGGAATGACTTACAGAATTTAACATTGCAACAATGTGTAAATGACACCTGTTGCTTACCTGAAAAACCCAAAGTTGTCCATGGACTGAAGGGCTCCACTGCAGATATTTTTCTTGACAATGCAGCGTACAGAGAATATCTATTCAAACAATTTAATGTCTCAACCGTTGATGAAGAGAGCGCCGCCGTTGTATTTGTAAGTAAGAAAAGCAAAAACTTTGTTTAGTTGTAGTTCTGACAATCTGATGTCTGCAAACTCATTGATTTGAAATCCGAAGCGTAGCTCAGTTAGTTTAGCAAAAGGTGGCATCCAATAATTCTGAGCTTCAAATCCCAACATTTGCAATCGTTTTTTCTATTTTTAGGTTGTGGCCTCTCATGTATAAAAAAAATAATATTTGATTTGGCATATGGTCTTTAACATTTTTTTTTCTGGTATTGGTTTGCTGCAGACATGTTTGACAAATGCAGTACCCTGCATTGTGTTCCGAGGAGTTTTCGGATTTGGCTAGTGGGAATGGAAGCCCTTTGTCAGCCAGCCTTAGTTCATTAGCTTCTGTGAATGCATTGACTGTAGCTGTTCAATTTATTCATTTAGTTAATGGAGAAAGTTCAGTTGTTGATCAATGAAGCTTTTTTATTCATTTGCCATTAAACCAAATGCTCTAATGCAGTAGTTAATGAGTGGAACTAGTTATCTTACTCTTTAGTTTAAACTTTATCTTTATATTTCAGTTTTCCTCAAAACGGGCATACATAGCATTGTGTAGAGTTGCAAGTTGAGCTTTGGTATTCAATTTATTAATTATCATTTTGGATGTAAAAAAAGAATTGCCATCGGTTCAATTTTCATCTGCAAAGCGTCATGATTTAAATATAAATTAAGCTTGAATTACAAAATCAAAGTTGTTATAGTTGCGAATTTGAAATTTAATTTAATTAAATTAAATAATTATTTTTTAAAAAATAATATTTTATAAATTTGAATCTTTATATTTATAATCATAATTTTTTTTTAACTCAAATAAAAAAAGACGGGTTGATTGGGAGTAAAGTTGACAATGGATCGAATCGAGGTAGTTTTTTGTTCGTCCTGAATTTGATTCGATTTTATATTTATCAAATTCGAATCTGATTCAACTCCAAATTTTTTTCATATCCGAATCTAATTCGATATGATATTATATAAATTATATTCGATCCGAAATTAATAAATTATTATTTTTTTAAATATAAATATTTAAATATATAATAATATAAATATATAAATAAATAATTAATTAATTAAAAATAATATTTTATATAATATCAGATCAAATCAAATCAAATTTGTTTAAAATTTAAATTTGATCTGATTTTAATTTTTTTTTTAACTTTATCCGATCTAATCCTATCGAAAGTTCAATTTTAAAAAAATAAACCTTATAAAATTAAATCAAATCAAATCAAAACTCGTTGAAACGAATTGAATTACCGAGAGTCCGATCCCCGACATTTATAAATTTTCTTTTATTTAAATTTGGAGCGTGACCACTTTTATACAAAAAAGCAGCAAAAGTTTGTGTCCAAATTAGAATAAAACCCATAAACATTGGATCATTCTTAGTGGGCTACAGGGCCCAATTATTAATTTCAATTTTCAACCGCAAAATCCAATTCACCAAAAAAAAAAAAGAGAAAAAAAGAACACCTCTTCCTTCCTTACAACGTTTCGCGTCTTCCTTTGCCAAAAAAAATTGCAATCCCTAATTGTTGAAATCCTTAAAAATAGTCATGGATAAAAGGGAGAAGGGAAAATCAGCGAAATTTGAGATCAAAGAGAACGAATGGGGACCGTTAGATTCAAAACCATTGATCGTATTAAGCAGCAGTGACGAAGAGGAAGCCAATGAAGACCTAAGCTTGAAGATCGTCGAGAAAGCTCTATCGGTGAAAGCGGCGAGGTTGAATGAGGGAAATAATGCAGGTTTGGATGATCGAGGCGTCGTCTCTGTGGTGGATTTGGTATCTTCATCTTCACAAGGGGGATCCGACGTTACTGGTATTAGTGGCGGCGGTGAAGAAGGGGATTTGGATTTGAAAAGAAAGAAGATTATTAAAAGGAAAAAGAAGAAAACGAAAATTCAAAGGGTTAAAAATTTGTTATTACTTTTTTTTTTCCAGTTATTATTGTTTTGATGGAATGTACTGCTTGAAAAACTAAAATTTTTTACTGCATATAGTTGATGAGATGATGCAGGTGAAGAATCATAATTTTTTTTTAAGTTTTAATATAATTGTAAATGGTATGAATTTAGACTAGAAATAGGGATGGCTTATTATAACTGTTTCAAATTAGCCTGTTAGTCATCATCATTGTTTGTGTTGTTATGACTATTTGAATCGAGCTGGTTCCGCCTAGTTCTTTGTTCCGAAGTCTGTTCTGGAATCTATTGTTGGATAAATTTTGTTGAAATGTTTTCTGTTTGTCAGGTTAATGAGTTCTTGGCTTTTGTTCTTTCTCCTTTTCTTGGTTAGTTGTGGGAGGCCTTCTTCCATAGAAAATTTGATCTTTTTCTTTTCCTGCAAACTTTCAGCAGGAACTGACTTCTTTTTTTGGAATTTTATTTCAATTTTTATTGATTTTGATAGAATGTCTGCTCAAGATTTTAGTTAAAATTGATTTGAAATTTTGAAAAAATTATTTTCATTTTAGTTTCTGCTGCGATAATGCAGGAAAAGAATCGTATTTTTATTGAACTTCATAATTCCAATAATGCTACTCTATTATGTTGATATGAAGTTAGATTGGCAAAATTGGCATGGCTTCCAAAAATTGTTTGAATCTGACTGCTAGCTATCACCATTGCTTTTATTACTGTGATAGTTTTCATTACAGCTGGTTATGCATTGTTCTCTGTTGTTGAATAAATGTTGTATTTGATTCGAGCTTGCAGCATGTAATATCACTAATTTTCAAACTTGAACTTTGCAATCTCATTTTAGGCAAAATTTTTTTTTTTTTTATTGTACCAGGCCATCATTACAGAGGATGGAGATAAAGCTGAGACTTTAGAGAAGGTCGAGACAGTTGAGGAGGCTGAGATAGCTAAGCCTGCAGAGTCTGTTGAATCTCTTGACCCAAATACTGTAGACATATCTGACAATATTGTGCTCCGTAAGCTTCTTGTGAGTTAAAATATTTGCTTTGAAATGTGGTTTAGAACAAAATTTCCCTTGATGGCTTGGTTTTTAGTTTCTCTTTGGTATTTATTTTATCAGAGGGGGCGGAGGTACTTTGATCCTCCAGATAGTGGTTGGGAAACATGCTATAATTGTGGCGAAGAAGGGCATATGGCAGTGAACTGTACATCTACTTCAAAGCGGAAGAAACCATGCTTTGTTTGTGGGAGTTTGGACCATGGTGCTAGACAGTGCTCAAAGGTATGAAGGAAAAGACTGGTGTGAAACTTAATGAAATATCATGTACTGTGTCTTTTAACTGTTATCTGTTTGTTGAAGTTAACATCTTTTTTTAATTTTTCTGTGTCCCTTTCTGTGTTGGAACTTGGAAGTGGGTAGCCCCTTATGCTACTTTTTTCTCTTTTATAAGAAGCAAATGAATCTATTAGTAGTTATTACAATTTTTTTTTCTGGAAAATGGCTGGGCATGCTTATTTCTTGCCTCTGTAAATGTAGATTATTGACATTTTGTTGATATAGCGATAATATTTTTTAGTGGTTGAGAGCATGGGGTAGGTCCCTCCTTACTATTAGGTAGACTTTAGCTATGTGAACTGTTAATAGATCAATACAGTGCACTTTTCATTGACCTACATCTTATTAATGGTTTTCCTTGATTTGTTCCACATTAAATTAGAAAGTGTTCATACTAGTGATTGTTAGTAGCATGTTTAGTAAATTTTTAGCTTGGTTCACCATTCATGTTCGTGCTTATAATTTTAATTTCTTTTTAGGCCCAAGATTGCTTTATTTGCAAAAAAAGTGGTCACCGTGCAAAAGATTGTCCAGACAAACATAAGAGTGGCTCCAAGCATGGTAAAATTTGTTTACGATGTGGAGATTCTGGGCATGACATGTTTTCATGCAGGAATGACTACTACCATGATGATCTCAAGGTTTCTTCATGTTCCCTAGCAGCATTGTTCACTATTTGTTTTTCCTGTTGCATTTGCTTAAAGTTTTCTGTCTGGATTCTTGTTCTCTAACTGTATTCCATATGTTTTTCCTCCCAAATCAGGAAATTCAGTGCTATATCTGCAAGAGTTTTGGCCATTTATGTTGTGTGAACTTTGTTGATACCAGTGCAACTGAAGTTTCTTGTTACAGATGTGGCCAACAGGGTCATACTGGTTTGGTGAGTTTTACTCAGGATGCTCATATTCTATTAGCATTAATAGGTTGTTGTTGGTATACTATTTTCAGCATGTTGATGTTTGATTATCAATATGTCCAGCAATTTTTTCCTTGTATCTTTTTTTTTTAAAATATTTTTCCAGTTCTTCTTATTACTGTTGTCATTGTGATCTGTCGTGTGCTTTGTTCAGTTATTCATCGTTTTCATTATTGTATTTCTTTTTCAACAAGTTGGTTACTATGCATGTGATATCCTTGTTGGTTGGAAAACCCCTTTTACCTCTGTTTCTTAATTTTATTCCATTTCTCTTCACAAGCTAACTAGATTTAGTATTACTTTTAAGTTACATATTAGCTAACATCATTTATTTACAAATAACTATTTTTTGAGCGATCACTTCCATTAACATTCTGATTTTAAATAGTGATTTTTCATTCTTGTCATAATATATTTTTGAATTTTGTAAATCTTCCTTTCTTATAAATTGGCAACTCTACCATTTAACATGGGAATTGTTTTATGTAGTCATGTGGTAGGTCACGTGGAGAAACCAAGGAAACCACTGATAGTGGATCACCTAGCTTATGCTATAGGTGTGGTGAAGGAGGACACTTTGCACGTGAATGCACCACTGGTACTGCAACAACTAGCTTATGCTACAACTGTGGAGAAGGAGGACACTTTGCTCGTGAATGCAGTTCTGCTAAGGTGGATTTCAGTACATTTGTAGAAGTTCTAGAACAGAGTGTCTTCCCATTGTTTATATATGTTTTTCACATACAGAATAATGGTTCTCCAACACTGACTATTTCTTTGCTTGTAACAGGTTGGTAAAAGAAATCGTGAATCATCTACTCCAAATGTAAGACCCCGTAGAGAGAATAAAGAGTTTTTGGGATACAAGTCTGCACCTCATAATCATGGCAAGATCCCCAAAAGGAAAAAAACCCAGTATGAAGAAAAGGGCTTTAGTACTCCACGAAATGCAAAACAAAGAGGTGGTTGGATCACGGAGGATCCTGGAGATTTCTCCAATAGGAAGCTCAAAAGAAACCATTGGAATTCTCCCTCAATTTCATCTAATGAGGGACACAAGAGGTCATCTTCATCTTTTGGTGGTCGCATATCTGGTTCCCAATCTTCTAAACCTAATAGTTCTCATGGATTTTTGGCATCAAGGTTCAGCAATTTTGGCAATGATAAACCAAGGAGGATGTACGATGATTGGTGGTAGGATAGATCTTTGTCTTGGTCTAACTTATTTAATCACTTTGTTTCTTTCTTGTCCTTTTCTTCTGTGATGCTCATGGGGCTTCATTTTAGCTGGTCTAGAAGATATGTCAGAAACGCATGCAATTTTTTTATATATATAAAAAGGGAAAGATAGCATGCTCTTGCTTGCAGTTTAAAGGGTTTTTCTTTTTCTTTTTCCCCTTCCTATTATCACATTAATGTTTCATTTTTGATGTATGTAGCATGTTTATCTTTTTAATTAGAGACAATGATATTGGCATATCTGAATGCGTATGTCATACTTTTGTAGTCCAGAGTTAAGAATTTTCTGGTGGTTGTTATACACAGACGTATAAGTGTGGAATGAACATTCTGAGTTGAGAATTCCTACAATTTTCATTAATTGTTTGGGAATTGTAAACAGGTATTAAACATGTTCTAGGTAGAAGCATCCATGTCAGTTGAGCAAAAAAATCTGCATATACCTGTAGTTTGCTCCCAGCCTGTTATAGAAAATCTCCTATGTTAGGAAAATTTCGAAGGCACAAAGCCATTGTCAAGCTGTTGAAGAGGAGAGCCAACCTAAATTCTGTTTCCAGTCTTCCGCAATTTGTGTTTCTTTCTGGGTTTCTTGCTGCACTTGGGAAATGATGATGAGATCATTTAATGGTAGGCTCTCTTATGATTGTTCTTTGCCACTTTGAGCTCCTCCACTTTTATCTTTTTCTCTCATTTTGGGTGTTGCTGCTCCCTCATTCTTTACAATGAAAGTTCACCTGTCTCAAAAGGCCTGTTTATACTGTACTTTTTGGTGTGTGCTTTTAACTGTAAATAATAATAATAATTAAAAAAAAAAAACAAATTGACATAATCACTTACCTTGTGAGATGGAGGATAAACCTTGTAATGTGTGTATTCATTTGTGTTAAACTCATATAAAACACGAAATTATTGTGTAATAATTTGTGTAAAATGTATTGAATATGAAACTTATTTTTAAATTTATATATTATTTTTATTAAAATTTTAAATCGTGTAATTTTCATGTTTTTTTTATTATTATTTTGGTTGTATCATGTCATCTGCTGTATTTAAAATTGTGAGGCAATTCATATTCAATTAAAGAGGATATGTTTGGCAGTAAACACAAACATGATTCCTATGGAACAACGTGCTCTGAACTTCCTTCCTGAAACTTCTCATACGCATCTAACACTTCCCAAATGTCCTCTCGTAGGAAAACAACCAGCTTCCCCGAACATGGGCAGTTAACTAACTTTCCCATTTTAGAAATGTGATAATGATTGTCAGGTTTATTTCCAGAGATTATACGACTTGAATAACTTTCCCTTTTTAGAAATATGATAATGATTATTAAAAGAAAGAGTAAAATTACCAATAAATAACAAGAAATTAAAAAGCACCAAATATAACAGTGTGCGTTCAATGGTGATATTATGAGCACTTGTTAAAATTGTCCGAAATTTTGGGGTTTCTTGTCCGAAATTTTTGAGTTTGATTGACGGACACATGACAAATGATAAGAGATAGTAACAATAAATTTGGAGTTTTATTGGATATGTTTATGGATTTTGCCTTGTTTCAAAAGAGAAATAGAGTATTCAGCAGCCTTCATGAGATCTTCAATGTTATGAAGGGGACGCTCTTCAGAACCCAACATGAAAATGGCACGTGACTCTGCTTTCTTCGCCAGCCTCGCTGCTAAACTCAGTTCCAGTTTCGTAGAGTTCAGGTTCCGAAGTATTTGTCGGTACAACGAAAGAACTTTCCCTCGGTTTCTCGCTAAGTCTTCTGCCGTTGCCCACAACAAACCCTTCCCCATTTCTGACAAGATTCGAAACCAAAAAAATTCCTCTTAGACATTTTATCGAATACCCTTTAGTCTAGACAGCAATACTTTGTTTTTAGTAAATAACAGTAAATGAATATTTTAAATCAAATGCAAAAAAAAAAAAGAAGAAGAAGATAAACAATTTTCGAAAGGGAAGCGATAGAGAGGGAGGACGAACTGAATCTGATGAAGAGTGAAAGAAGAGAAGATGAAGCTTTTTCAAACAGATGAGCTTCGGTATGTCAGTTAAGGATGTGAAGTTAGAGAACTTTAAATACAAGTAAAAAAAAATTAACCATATACTGCTGTCAATAACAACCTGTCAATAATCCATTTTTCTTTTATGAATTTAATATTTTTTCAATTTCTTAAAATTTGTTATAATTATAATTAAATATTAAAATTTTATATAATTATTAAATAATTAAACAAATAAATTAATTCATAAATTAAAATATAATTTAATAAATTTAACATAAATTAAATTCACGTATAATAAAATTTTAACTTAAAATAAAATCCACTCCAACTTTATGGATTTAAGCTAAAAACAAAACGTTAATTTCATGCTTTATTTCCATTCACGGCAGTTAAGACAACTTTTTTTTTTATTCCTTTTGTCTGATAAATATTTGTTTAATTTAATATTTGATGATTAATTTTTTTAATTTTAACTTTATTTTATTTTGAAAATTGCGAATTAAATTGTCAGTTATATAATTAATATAAAACTATTAATATTATAAATAGGATATTAACTAATCTTAACTCTTAAGGAGTCCGAGCATCTAATACTCGTTAGTAAAACTCTTTTATTTTAAATATATTGCTAATTAAAATATAAAAATTTCAAAAATCTTGCATAAAGAGATTTTGAAATATATTATTATAAAATTTTAATTACTAAAATATTTAAAATATTAATGATCAAAATTTAAAAAGTGACAGTAAAGAAATCAAGCCAAAGTTTTTTTTTTTTTTTTTTTTTTATCAAAGGAATATAGTAAAGAAATAAACGCAAATATATTATTTATAGGGCAGAAAGAATAATATTTTTAAGTGACAATGATGCCCTTAATTGGCTTTAAAGCCACAAAAAAATTTAGTCTAAAATATAATTATCCATAAGTAATTTTTTGCAAAAAAAAAACCACTCCAAAGCTCAGTATGAATTCTAGTTGCAGTTGATTTCAAATATTGAGAAAGAGTCATATTGGCTTGATCAGTTGCCTTTGCCAGAGGAGCTTGATCAAACGGGGCAAATCCAGCAACAAACTTGTTTTGATCATCAAGCAATCCAATTGCCTAGGCTTCTTTCTTTATTCAGTCTCCACAAAATCACATACCAGCTTTACCAATTAATAATGAATGCAAATGTGAAAATAGGGAATGAGTTGGAATGTTCAAAACCCTTCAAAGGGAATAAATTAGAAGCATTATAGCTGGCAAATTAATAAACCAAATATCTGAAACATAATTGAATATTCATGAAAACAATTCCCTAATTGCCTTTAAGCTCACTGTGAGCAGGCCTATGGCTCGAACTTTTCGCCATCATCACAAAACTGTAACATAAGTCTTACGAATCTAAAAGGAGTTTCTGGTTCAGGCCAAGCATACAGTGGATATTTCTCGCAAGTTAATGGACAAATTATCTTCAAGAAGGTTGTTGAAAATACCCCCAAGTCTTGTAAAGGAGATGCTCCTCAAAGTTCTACGATCGGAGTTTATCAGGTAAAGATTCGATGGGATTGAGAAACCGTTACAATAGCTTCAGTCCACCAGTTACATCATCAACCATTTCAATAGGTCCTATACGAACATTGCACGGAACCAAAGGTAGAATTTAAAAAACAACATAGAAATTCACGGGATTATTGACAAAAGAGAAACTTACCAAGAATCGCCATCACTGTCCTCGAATCTGAAAATGTATACAAATTGGTAAGTTTCATCATATGGTATATTAAATAAAAAGCTTTCAGAGATAAATAGCTATTGAAAAGTTCCCTTTAAATGAAACACCCAAAAGCTTAAATGCAGTTAGCTGTTTGGGACAATATGCGGAGAAATGAAAATAAACTAAGCAGTACTTGATAACCAAAAACTACGTATTGCTAATCAAAAGGCAACTCCATATTAAATGTTTGATAAAAAAACTTATAGATATGAAGCTTTTAGCAGCACATGCTAATTCTAATAATTAGACAATTTGTTATTTCCTTAAGCTTTGGACTCCACCACTCCACTTTTTCATAGAAGTGCTAATTCTAATAATAAATATAACACTGATGTTTGCACCAATAAAGGCTCAAGGACACTCATAGAAAAGCATCAAAATGATTTCATAATTTGTCCTTGCTAACTTTCTCAGTAGGATCAATAATTTAAGTTAATAATAGTCCATATTTGACAGTTCCGAAAAGAAATTAGTTTTCATAACGTTACTTAAATAGTAAAGAGTGAACAAACCCCAATCATAGTGAAATAAACAATGATAACCCAACCTAGAATTCAATACTTTATCATTTATAGAAAGAGATCAATTATCAAAACCATGATACATATTTATGAAGGAAGAAAGAAAATAAACTATGACACCCACTTGGTGCAATCTGAGTTCTCCCTGCATCGATGGTGATATGGGTTGGTAAGTTTAGAGATTTTGCCCTCTCCTGAAAAGTTAAAATTGAGGTTAATAATCGAGAAATCTATGTAAATGTGATAGCAAGATATATCATCACAAATATTAAATCTCCTATGAGCATAAAAAAAAAAGAATATTAAAGCTCCCTAGAGGCTAAGCAGAAACATAAGACCAATGAATAGTTGACGTCATTCCAACCTGCAAAGTGTTAAGCATATTTTGGCAACATGTTTAGAAAGGGCTGAAATAAACATCAACAAAATCCTAAGCTATATATCGAAGAATTACCATCAGCATGGTTCACACACAATATAGAGACAGACGGATAAATGTAATGAAGAAGAGAGAAACACCATTTATAGAGACAGACGGATAAATGTAATGAAGAAGAGAGAAACACCATTTAGAAAATGAAAAAAGAATGTAGAACATCATTTGAGCAAGAAACCGACCACAAGTGTATTTGAATATTCTTCTAAGAATTAACTACTGTTTCAACTGCAATTCTCATGAAATTCACAAAACTAACAGTTCAAGAAAGAGCATCTGCCACTCTCATATAAAGAAGAAAATAAGGCCTCTACGACAAGACCCATAAAAAGCACCAACTTATGTCTTTCATGCAATATTCAATCAAGAATGCTAAGTTTCGCACCACAATAACTTAATTCTTTAACATGCTATGGCTTTTTCTTCCGACCAAAACTTTCCGTTTTAATAATTTGTTGGTGCAAATTCAAAAAACTACAAGTTAGATGGTGATTACACTAGAGGGAGTATCCATGAAAATTATCAGAAAATGAAGCACAAAATAGATCTTAAACCACACTGACTTGCAACACTAGCATATCTTCCTCACTATCAATTTTCACAACCACCTTTGGCTGAGCACACATCTCCCACCTGCATATTGACAACATAAGGAAGAAAATAAAGAGTGACAAAGACAGAGATGGAACAAAAAGTGCAAAAACTAAGGTTGCAGTAGTGTAACACCAGAACAGTGCATAGGCTCTACCTGTCCAAAGCTTTTGGTGCTCGATGAAGGAGTTTTTTGTAGAGACCCAAAGTCGCATGACTAAACAATGAAAAAAAAAGATTTGTATTATGAACTGAAAATAAAAAGTTCAAAAGAACAAAGTAAGTCAAGAAAATATATGCAAATCAACGAAGGTTCCTTCAACAGAGGTAAAGAAATCACAACAGATGACCACTTTTTAAATGTACAAAATGTCAGTGATTGTAAATTTAAAAGAAAGTCATTATAAAAGATGGCAAAATGAGGAACCGCCAAAGTACTAGCATTTGGATAAAAGATGGCAAGAGATGAGTCCGCCAATTGGCAGCTTAGTGAAACCATATGGTTGCACACCAGGAACTTATGACAACCTTACCCATTGGGTTAAATCTTGTTTTGAGGAAATTAAATTCCCAAAAAATTAAAACCAATGTCTTCCAAGATGCAATGTCATGACTCAATTAAGTTTATAATATGCATTACACTTGACAGGGTGCAAATGTTTCAATCATTTCTTGAGTATGATCTGCTGCAAGAACTCCTGCTTATCACACCCCAAACACTCAAGTATTATTCCAATCTAATTGATGGTATTCAGAGCTTTAATTGGCCATTGATTCACTTTTTCTTGAACAGATATTCATTATCAGGATTAGGAATAAGCATATCTCATCTAATCCATGAAATTATGGGATAGGAAAGGATCTAACAACAATCATACAGTAACTCACTTAAAAATAACAGAACACTTACTGCACTCCCTGGCTTGATATTTAAATTCATATCTCAACAGTTTAACATCTGCATCTAATGAAAAGTGAAATTAGAGGTAAAACTAGAAAACAAAGCCTCACCTGCACTGGGCAGCAATTTTTCCTTTACCCATCTTAAGATCATTTCTTACAACCAATACCTGAAGATAATAAGAGCAAGACACAGATTTTCAATGTCTATTTTTACATTTAATAGTTTGCACAAACATGCCAATCCCAAAGAGATGCAAGACAGTTCAATACCATTTTAAAATCCTCTAGAATGTCAGCCAACTTTTCAATTTCAAAGGGTTCTTTGGTTTTCTTCTTATTTGCTTTAGAGATTGTAGTATCTTTAGCTCCTCTTGATGAGAGAAATAAACAAGCAGGATAGTGCCTACCAATGCAGTACCCCAAGGCAAGGCAGCCTGCCCCAACTAGGATGGCACTCAACCATGACAAATCCATCATATTAAAGCACCAATAAAATTTCCCCTCTGTGCTAAAAGACCAGAGCAAGTATCAACTTAAAACTCAAAAGGAAATCTGCATGGTGCATAACCAGATTTCAGGAATCTGCCTCGGGCAGGAAAATTAAATTATAATAGAATTCCAATTACGTTACAGATAAAATAAAAGTAAAAAAATACGAAGTAATTATTATTGATATCTAATAGTAACAGTAAAGGAAGGGATTGATTAGGCTCCATATAGTTGTTGCTCTCGTTACTTGCTTACTGACTTTGCTATTTGCAATTATCCTTCTAAACATTGCTAAAATGTAAAAGAAACTGGTAAAAGGCATAATCATAATTAATTAAAAACATGAACAAACAATTAAAGTTAACACCAATTCTAACATATTTATTACATATAAAATTAGAACCATACATTTTATTCTCCGAGAATCGCATTTTTAGTACTAAGATAAACATAGATTATTTGTTTTGTATCCAAACACTTTTTTTTTATTCCAAAAGGGGAAAAGAACCAAGTAGCAAAAGCAACAACCAAACCATACCTAATTTAATAAAATCAAACAACAAAATTTTCAAAACTCAGAAACCAATGCAACATCATAAACTTAGGTTGGTTCCTTCAGTTTCCGGCATCAAACCAAAAACAAGACCTCTTGAACTTTGTCAAATGTGCATTGATCCAATTAAATTAAACACCCAGACTCCAATTTTTCATCCAATCGGGTTTTAACCACAAAGGTTTCAGACCATTATAACAACAGGCTACTATTATCCATTAAATTTCTCAACATTTCAAGTTTATACTTTATCCTAGACATTCATTAATGAAACAAACATTTTCCAAAGACCAAATTTATGAAAAACAAAATAGAAACATAATCTAAGACATTGGTAATTCAAAATTGCGAACAAAAATTTAAAGGAACAGGAACAAAGAAATAGAGAAACTATACCTGTTAGAAACTTGGGTCAGAGTTGGATCGTGGATATATTGACTTGGGTTAAATGGGAAAGTGGGTTTTTCGCTGAGTTGCCGGGGTTTTGTGTTTGGGTTCAATCCAAAGGTTAAGGGAATATAAAATGGCTGCGACGGAGAGGAAAATGGGGGAGAAAAGAACTGGGAAATGGCTATAAAAATAGCAGCAAGGAACGCAGAGCGAGAAGAGGGTGGGATCCTCAGACTTGAGAAATCGTTGTGTTCTCTCTCGTTAAAAATGAAAATTGAGTTAACTAATGTTAATAATTCTTTTTTTTTTTTTTGTAGAAAAACAACAGTGCAATACTGTAGTATTAGTCGATTTTGACTAAGTTAAATACTTGGTAATTCCTAAAATATTAAAATTTGTAAGTAAATATATGAAAATTTATATTCCGTCAAATACTTTACCCTTCCGTTTACTTTATTATGATTTATTTAGCTAATGATAAAATGCCAATTTTTATGTAATTATCATCACATCAATTAGTTCATCGTGTTAATGTAAAAGAACATGATTAATAAATTTATTAAAAATATGATTTTTAAAAAAATAAAAAATAAAAATTTAAATTTTGACTAAAATTTTCAAAAATAAAAAATTTAAAATGTAAATAAACACAAAAAACAAAAAAATGATTTTTCTAAATAAAAATAAAAACTTTTAAAAAATGAAAATTTTAAAATATTTAAAAAATAATAAAATAATAAAACATGAAAATTTTATTAAAATTTAAAATTTTCAAAAAACTATTTTTTATTTTCTAAACTAATACGTTTAAAAAATTAAAAAATTTCTTAAAAAATTTAAAAAATTGAAAACTTTTGAACAAAAACAGATTTTTATTTTTTAATCAAACTAGAAGAGACAATGGAATAAAGGAGAGAAAGAGAAAGCGAGAAGGAAGGTGAAAGGGAGAGAGCAAGATGGTCAACGTACTAACATGGGCAGCGACTCCTAGTGGCGTAGTCATGTACAAAGTAGCTGTCACTTGATCCCACTCAATTCTCAAAAATCTTAATTTAGGGTAAGTGATTTTGTAAATTTTTTTAATTTACTAATATTGATTTCAGAAAAATCTAAAAAGAAGAAAAATTTTTTCTTAAAGTGTCTTAAATTTATATTTTATATAATATATTTATAAATTTTTATTTGAGATAATTTGACCACTAATAAAAATATTTAATAAAATATGAAATGCGATATATTTTTTAATATATTATCATAAAAATTAATTTTTAAATTTTACGTATTCGAAAATATATTTTTACCTATTTATAAAATCTTGTCTCAATAGCAATGAAAATGCTTTCAAAATTTTAAGTCTCTAATTTTAAGTTCCACTAAGTGTGATTTTTGTCTAAAATTATATATTGATTGATTGATTGGTTGTTAATTTGATTTCTTGGTTTCTCTTTTTCTTGGTGTATATTAAAAATTATTTAATTATGATTGTAATTTCTTCAAATATATATAATTTCATAAAAAAAATTGTTTACTCTTTTATCTAAATACAACATTTTTCTTATTTTTTTAAAAGATAAAAAAATAACAAAATAAAAATGAAAAAAAAATCCAATTTAACTTATAAAATTTAAGGATGATCAAATTATAGACTTGAAATAATATTTCTTTATCGTTATATTAACCTTTTAATAAAGTAACAAGATATTATATGTTATAGTTTTATAAACTTAAAATTTTTGGATTTAATGTAATTTTTTTAATAATATAATATAATTATAAGATTGAGAAACAATTGATTCAGTTAATTCAATTAAAAAATTTAAAAATCGATTTAAATAATTTAATTTATAAAAAAATAAAATAAAAACTGAAATTAATCGAATTAAATCGAGTTCATCACTTTTTTTTTTCGTGTAGCAAGATCAACTTGCAAAAAAAAAGTTTAAAAATATAAAGATTTAAACTAAATATCAACTCTAAAACAATCCAATACACTATTATAACAACTCTGAAGGCACTCCAAACTCAATAACAACCTAATACACTGTTATAAAGCATGTAAAGCAATCTAATACAGTCCAAACTCAATAACAACCATAAAAAATGCAATCTCCAATACAACATAAAACAAACTTGAATAAAACAAGCAATTAGCCAACAACAATCCATAAATCTCAAGAAATTAGCTAATTGCTGTCCATAAGTCTCAAACAACACTATTTCACTCAATTACCATTCTTTGTCAGCACTAAGCACCAATACTCTTCCATTCCTGCAAAAACACATCTACCTACTTGAATTGGCTTCTAAATATTGTAGTTTGCTAGTAATTTTTATTAAGTATTCATTTCTGATCTTTTTTTTTTTTGGGAAAGTGATGCATCCTGGTATGAGATGAGGCAAATGAAAAAGATATACTCTACTCTTTCGAAAGGAATATTGGCTCTTTATTTTGGATTTGAATAGATCCTGGTAACATGTCACACTATGTTAAGTAGTTGAGGAATCAATTGAAAATGAAGCAACTAACCCATTTAATTTTTTGTAAGAACAACTTACTGATTTGGGTTCTTATATTTTGATGAAAGACAAACAAAAATTAGAGGTGTTCATTTAACCAATTTTATTAATTTTAAAAATTATTTAAAATCAAATTAATTGAATTATTTTATTTTATTTTTATTAATTGAATCAAATTTATTAATTTTAAAAAATTAACCGATCAAATTTAATTCGATTGATTAATTTTTTTGTTAATCGAATAATAAACATATTTAAATTATATTATATTTTAAATTGTTAATTTCTCATATGTTAAACAAATTAAATAAAATTATTCAATAAAATATTCAAATACTAAAATATTATGTTAAAAACTCTAACAACTTATGAAATTAAATAATTCATTTTATGTATTTTTTATTTTATATTTAGATTCTATTATATTTTAGTTAAATTTTAGGTAATTCGATTTTCGAACCGAATTAATAAAAAATTAAAATTCTTCTAAAATTATTTTCGTTAACCCATTAAAATTAATTCGGTGATTGATCGATTAATCAAATTAAATCAATTAAATCGATTAATTCAGTTAAAACTTAATTATAAACACCCTTAATAATAATTTAAATTGGAAGAAAAAAAAAACTAAAACAAACTATGAATGAATTGTTGATGAGTAACAATTGAGGAATGGAGAAATTAGTATATTACACAAAGTTTAGAAAAAAAAATAGAAATATCATATTGATTAGGATTGTTGTATAATGTACAAATACGTTGTATACAAACGGTGCTCTGAAAAAAGGCACTCCCAATGACAATGTGTCAAATGTATTTACACAATGATACCAGTTAGCATTAGCTTGCTAGCTTTTTTGTCTGGTCATTGCATCAAGTTTCAGTTATGTTTGCCGAAAAAAGAAAATGAAGTTTCAATCGATCATGCTTTTAGAAACCAATGAGCAAAATCCACATTAAACAAACTAATAGTAAATTTTTTGTAGTGAGCACCTATAACGTAATATTCATATAAACTACACAAACAAATGATTTTGCATCATTTATAGGGGAAAGATTACTATCTTTATCTAGCTTATTTATTTTCAAATACATAAAATATATAAAATTACCTTAAATGATCAATACACTTATTTATTAAGTACAAAGTCCAATACAATCTTAGATAAATTTAAAAATTCATAAACAAAAAAATAACAAAAAGTCAGTTTTAAATTAAAAGATTTAAATAAATAAGAACTAAAAAAAATGGTGGCATATGTCATAAGGTATAGATCTGTAAACTAATTGTTAGACATAATTTTAGAAGTTGTCATTAATCTTTTTTTGTATAAGTACGATTGACTATTTAACTGAATCAACTCTATTTTAAAAAGAAATCCAGAACTTCACAAATGCAAGTTTTTTTTTTCTAAGGTTAAGAATAGAAGTAATATAAAGCAATATATTCATTTTGCCCACAATCCCCTAATACTTGTCATATATATCTTTTATTCTCTTAGCCATTGCACTCAACTCAACATTAGCATTCAATTAACAATTTGAAAAAATACCATAAACACCACAAATACCTTCAAGAAAAGTATTAGTGGTGACATATGAAGAACTTAAAACTTTTAAAGTGAGGTTGTAAAATTTTTGCAAGAAAATGCTTAATTTTTTAATACTTGACCAATCATTTTGATCGAGCATCCAATCTTTAAAGAAGAGCTCACTTCTATAACAATGATCAATATCATCAAATGCCTTAAAAGCTCATTCAAATTATTAAACTTGTTCCAATATCAAGTAAGTGAAATTCCACATAGCACTAACATTCAAGCACAAAAAACTCTTACTTTAAATTTTTCTCATTGGCAACATACTTTTTAAGTTTGGCTAACATAGAGGGTAATTGTCTCATATTTCTAATTGTCTCTCTAACACGAGCAATTAAATCAATTCTTTCCTTTCTAATCCATCACTTATAATAAAGTTAACAATATGATAAATGCATCTCACATGCAGATATTTGCCTCTTACAATACTAGTTCTTGCATTGCTAAATTTTTTTTTTAAGTATGAGATTGCAACATCATTGTAACAAAGCTTATTAGCTGTAATAGTAAAAACCTTATCAATCCCCCAATTACGCAAACATTTCTCAATAGCCCTACCATTTGTCTCATCCTTTTGATTAAAAATGGGATAAAAGTTTAATATCCTTTTGTTTAGCTTTCAATCATTATATACAAAATGAGATGTAAGACACATATAATTGATTTTTTGTAATGAGATCCATGTGTTAATCGTAAAAGCCATTATCATAAAAGAAGATCTCAAGAATTACCTTAAGCAATTTTTTTCATTTGTATAATTTTGATAACAATCCCTAATAACAGTCCATCATGATAATACATGAAATCTAAGACATGCAATAGATATACAACGCCTAAATCCTCTCCCTTAAAAAAATTTAAAATATAGCTCATTTATAAATAATCATTTATAATAATAATAATCTCAACCACACATTTTCTAATGTCATTTTGATCAAACTTTCAAGTACTTAAAAACCTATCTCCTTTTAAACTCAAAACTAATTTTGTTTAAGA